TTGGGCCAGCTTGGCTCAATTTAAGTATGTATACCATATATCCGTAGGGCCCCTGATGATAAAACCACTGTGGTAACCCTCACTATAAGCAGTGACAGCCACGATCGTCAAATTTCTGTTTAAGTCAGGGATATGCAATTTATGTTGCCCAATGCCGGGACATGTAGTTCCAGGCGCCAGGCAGGTCGTTTTTTTTTTTTGTTTTTTTTTTTTTAACATTTATCCCTGCTGTGGGCAAGCAGCATGGCTTGTCAGTTGGAAGCACTCGGGCAGCTGAGCTGCCACCCGATTCCTTCCACACAGTGCACTAGTGTCACCCACCGGCAGACATGTCCGCTCTCCTGTCCTGACCTGGAAATGACATGTATGACGTCACGTTCGGGTCCCAATTGACAGATTTCCCCATCAAAGCCAGGAAAGAATGTATGTAATGCAGTACGATCTGCACTGCATTACATTCAATGGAGCGCAGGATCTTTTAGACAGTGGATGTCTCAGAGTGAACCTGTCATAAAAAATTATCACATCCATCCATTTAAAAAGGTAAGATCAAGTGCTCACAGATCTTTTTTGCAACTATGTATTGAAGAGGGTCTGACACTGGCTGTCAATTGGGAAGTGAGGAGCATACTGGCGGCTACAAATCAGTATACAGCACTCCATCATCATCAGAGAGGAGAGCAGATCAATTAAGTTGTCATGGGTTACTTTTTTGTAAATATGCATTTAAGAAATCAGGCACTGGATACATGACAGCTGTCAATTGGGAAGTGAGGAGCATATTGGCGGCTACAAACCAGTATAGAGTACTACATCCATCATCAGAGCGGAGATCAATGACAGATGAGTTTGCCCATGCCATGCAATGTATGCTATAGGGCAGTATCCCTGGGCACAGACATGCCCCATCTACCTGCTTGGCTCACCGTCCACCCCTGGCTGACAATCAGTCCTCCCTGGCCGGCCTTGGTCCCCGCTCTCCCCTGGGTGATCAGCCAGTAAATCCCCGTATGTTAATGAGCCCGCATCCCAAGCTCACGGATGCCATGCCCAAAAAAAGCCCCGTTAGCACAGAAGAAATGCGGATTTTTAGCAGCCGGTACTCCCCATCCCCAACACAAGGATGGCCACCTCCAACTTACCAAATCCCGTGCACAGGATTTATGAATGAAGCTTGGAGAGGAGGCCCCGCCCACCTGGCACACGTGACTCTCGCCAGGCTGCGGGCAGGGGAGGTGGTGGTGGTGGAAGATAGCGGGAGAAGGGGAGCTGTGCACCTGAAGGCACGCACCAAGCTCTCCTCAAGGTGAAACGTTCTAGACTCTGCTTGTCTCCTGTCTTGTGCAGAGTGTCAGCACACACTTGCCCCCACATTATTTCCACTCTCCAATTGCAAGCAGGCGAGTGGAAATTTCAAGGCCTGGGTTAAATAGTTTTTTTTTTTTATCAGTACAAGAACACTGTCATGAGTGACAAGTAGACTGGGACCCCAATTTAGTCCCTTGGAAATGGAATTTTTTCAAATATTTCCACACCCTTGTTAAATAGCAGTACAGTTGTTCACAGCATCCCCAGTGGCCCTCTGGATATCAGATAAGCATACTTACATCAAGCCAGGTAGGCCCACTGTACATCTGTGAAAAATGTATTTAATGGAGTCGTGCTTTAACCACTTCCTGCCCGGCCTATAGTAATATGACGGCCGGGCGAACACTTCGTCTCTCCGGGAGGGCGTCATATAACGTCCCTCCCGGATCGCAGTTTGCGCGTGCCCGCAGGGCCACGCTGTGGCGAGATCTGTCACCAACCATTTACCTCGGACCAATCACAGCAGGTCACATGACAGCTGTATACAATGGATGGCTTCCTTTCATGCCATCCATTGTATACAAGTGTGTCTAGCTGTGAATGGTCACAGCAATTACATGTACATGCTGGGCCAATCACAGCCCATCAGTGTCATGTGATTAGCCGTGGCCAATCACAACTAAATCACAACCAAAAAACTGAATGAATCGATTTAATTCAGTTAAATAGATTCATTCAGTTTTTTTTTTGGTTGTGATTAGCTGTGATTGGCCACGGCTAATCACATGACACTGATGGGTTGTGATTTAATTCAGTTAAATGCTTGCTTATAGCAAAGAAATTCTTTGCTATAATCAAATTGTGTAAAAAAAAAAAAAAAATCATATACAGTCAGGTCCATAAATATTGGGACATCGACACAATTCAAACATTTTTGGCTCTATACACCACCACAATGGATTTGAAATGAAACGAACAAGATGTGCTTTAACTGCAGACTGTCAGCTTTAATTTGAGGGTATTTACATCCAAATCAGGTGAACGGTGTAGGAATTACAACAGTTTGCATATGTGCCTCCCACTTGTTAAGGGACCAAAAGTAATGGGACAATTGGCTTCTCAGCTGTTCCATGGCCAGATGTGTGTTATTCCCTCATTATCCCAATTACAATGAGCAGATAAAAGCTCCAGAGTTCATTTCAAGTGTGCTATTTGCATTTGGAATCTGTTGCTGTCAACTCTTAAGATGAGATCCAAAGAGCTGTCACTATCAGTGAAGCAAGCCATCATTAGGCTGAAAAAACAAAATAAACCCATCAGAGAGATAGCAAAAGCATTAGGCGTGGCCAAAACAACTGTTTGGAACATTCTTAAAAAGAAGGAACGCACCGGTGAGCTCAGCGACACCAAAAGACCCGGAAGACCACGGAACACAACTGTGGTGGATGACCAAAGAATTCTTTCCCTGGTGAAGAAAACACCCTTCACAACAGTTGGCCAGATCAAGAACACTCTCCAGGAGGTAGGTGTATGTGTGTCAAAGTCAACAATCAAGAGAAGACTTCACCAGAGTGAATACAGAGGGTTCACCACAAGATGTAAACCATTGGTGAGCCTCAAAAACAGGAAGGCCAGATTAGAGTTTGCCAAACAACATCTAAAAAAGCCTTCACAGTTCTGGAACAACATCCTATGGACAGATGAGACCAAGATCAACTTGTACCAGAGTGATGGGAAGAGAAGAGTATGGAGAAGGAAAGGAACTGCTCATGATCCTAAGCATACCACCTCCTCAGTGAAGCATGGTGATGGTAGTGTCATGGCGTGGGCATGTATGGCTGCCAATGGAACTGGTTCTCTTGTATTTATTGATGATGTGACTGCTGACAAAAGCAGCAGGATGAATTCTGAAGTGTTTCGGGCAACATTATTTGCTCATATTCAGCCAAATGCTTCAGAACTCACTGGACGCCGCTTCACAGTGCAGATGGACAATGACCCAAAGCATACTGCAAAAGCAACCAAAGAGTTTTTTAAGGGAAAGAAGTGGAATGTTTTGCAATGGCCAAGTCAATCACCTGACCTGAATCCGATTGAGCATGCATTTCACTTGCTGAAGACAAAACTGAAGGGAAAATGCCCCAAGAACAAGCAGGAACTGAAGACAGTTGCAGTAGAGGCCTGGCAGAGCATCACCAGGGATGAAACCCAGCGTCTGGTGATGTCTATGCGTTCCAGACTTCAGGCTGTAATTGACTGCAAAGGATTTACAACCGAGTATTAAAAAGTGAAAGTTTGATTTATGATTATTATTCTGTCCCATTACTTTTGGTCCCTTAAGTGGGAGGCACATATGCAAACTGTTGGAATTCCTACACCGTTCACCTGATTTGGATGTAAATACCCTCAAATTAAAGCTGACAGTCTGCAGTTAAAGCACATCTTGTTCATTTCATTTCAAATCCATTGTGGTGGTGTATAGAGCCAAAAATGTTTGAATTGTGTCGATGTCCCAATATTTATGGACCTGACTGTCTGTGTATATATATATATATATAAATAAATCTTTTTTTTTAATAATCCAGATTTTCCGATTTGCATATTACGTTGGATGTGGTGGGCTATCTCTGTTCTTTACCATTATTATATGATTCCTTATATATATATATATATGTATATATGATCACTTCCCCAAAGTAGTACAATGTTACTATGGTAAAAATTATTTTTTTTTCGAACTGTCACCAGCCAGTGTCCCTGATCACTGCCACACCAGTTGTATGCTGGCACTGTACTGCACTGTTGACACGAAGTAAAAAAAAAAAAAAAATTTTAAATTGTGAAAATAATTTTTTTAATTTCTTCATTTTACAAAAAATAACAAAAAAATTACAACTTCAAAAAAAACTTGCCATGCCTCTTATGAAATACGTCAGACTGTCTACTTTGCAAAAAGGGGTCATTTCTGTACTGTTCTGCCATTTTTGGACCTCAAGAAATTAAGATTGGCTGGCAGTAGTTCGGGATTGATCAATTTTCAGATATATCCCATAGTTTGTGAACTCTAACTTTCCTACAGACTAAATAATAAATACTGATTTGGGTTATTTTCACCAAAGAAATGTAGCAGAATACATCTTGGCCTAAATTTATGAAGAACAATTATTGATTTGCAAACTTTTATAACAGAAACAAAGAACATGTTTTTTTTCGAAATTTTCGGTGAGTAGCCTCCCTAGCTGTCTGATTATGTCAGTATTTCTGTGCTCAAAGCGGTACTTTTTTTTTTACATGGAAATATGTCATTTTTTTACTGTAGGCCTGTAATTTTTAGGAATAACTCACTGAAATCTTTCCGAACAAGAGTCTAGTAAACATCCCGGGTATGATAAAATTTGAAACACGAAATCATAAATTATAATTAAATCATAAAAAACAATATAATAAATTTAATTCAATAATATAATCAAACCAAAAACATTGAAATTTTAAATAGAGCGCCAAGTTCGCACATCACTGAGTAAAGTCGCAAAATCGTTTTCAGTGTCTGATGACGAATTTCCCCACAAATCATTATCACTCAATTCTGCAAGTGGTTCTGATTTACTATCACTGTTCTCTAGCTGGTCTAAAACTGCTTTTGACATAAAGGGACGCTTTTCGGACGCCATGGACTTTTCTCAGTTTCCAGGCAGAAAGAACAGTAAAAATGCAGGCAGGGCACAGGACAAAGCACTAGGGACAAAATGTATGTGAAATGGTTTGATACAGTAATGTTTTACTATGTGATTTTAGTGTATTGAGTGAATGTCACTTTTTGTCATTTTCAAATTTTCCACCATTCCATCCCCCGTACATCCCAGGGAATGGAACCCGGAAGACAGATGCCGGCATCGGCCGGAGGAGATGGCCGGGGACGCTGCAGGGGGGACATCACGGGAGCGAAGGACAAGGTAAGTGCAGAAGGGATCCCGGAGCAGCGCCGCATGGTAAGCCTGAGTGTAGCTCGGGGTTACTGCATGTGGTGCTGAAACTTTACCCCGAGCTACACTCAGGAATACCTCCAGGGAGGATAAATACCACCAAAAGAAAGCTCTAGTTGTGTTAACAAAATGATAAACTTTTAGTTTGGGTACTGTGTTGCATGACCGCGCAATTGTCATTCAAAGTGTGAGCACTGAAACCTGAAAATTTACCTGGGCAGGAAGGAGGTAAAAGTGCCTGGTATTGAAGTGGTTAAGTTCAAACATACATAATGTATGTCACTGCAATAGGATTATCCTTTGTTGTTTAATTAAGGATACACATACAAACATGGAATTCAGTTGTACAGTTAGAGATGCAAACTCCTCATTAGTGGAGCATATAGAAAATGAACATTTTATTCTCATGGCAGGATTCAAAGGACAAAACCGCAGAATATTTAAAAATCAAATACTGAAATAATTTCATTTAACATTTCCAGTTCTAGTTCTAAAAATATTTCAGTACAATAATAAATTAATTACTAGCAAATTCAATAAATTCATATTGACATCACAATTGTTTTCAAAATACTAACTTGGGAGTTTGGCAAAAAAATCTAGGATAAACAAAGAAATATGGCTAAATATGTTGTTTTATCTATTCCTTTAACATAAGCAGGTCACAGTTGTAGCCTCTCTGCCCTATAGGGTCCCATTATGCAGCTGCTAACAAATACCTACTGCAGCCCAATGCCTGTGTAAAGCATTCTTGGGCTGCTGACTGCTGGACTATAAAGATGCTTTCCCTGTCTGGGAAGCAGAGCAGCGATTTCTTTCTACTGTGCTCAAGGTAAAAAAATGTTTCTGGTGCTCCTAGGTCAATAGGAAGAGTTTAATTTCCAGATTTAGAAGGCAGACATCATCGCAGTCAATGGCAATTTCTGAGGAATAAGCTGCAGCCCATGTTTCACATTTCTTTACAGTGAACAGGAATTTTGAAATGGATTTATAAAGTGTTTAAGACTAACCACACAATATACTAGAAAAAGGTTTTTCCTTTACTTAGTCATTTATAGCTCCACGCGTACTAGGCTTCTGTATGGTCATGGCAAACTTGACAAATGCTAGCAACTCTTATTTTTAAGTGTAAGTTAACCTTTTGTTTTTTTTTCTCTTCTTCATTTTGTTACATCTGTTTATACACAAGTTTCCTATACCACTTATGAGTGTTAAGAATACCATTTTTATATTTAGAATTACGGTTTACTATTTCTTAATCTTTTGGGTCTAGTTTTAGGCTCTGTTCACATAGTGTGGAATCGCTATGATCTTTGCTGCAATTTCAAAACACGCTGTTAAAATGTCAAATAGCTCATCAGCGTGTTCAGGTGCCACTAATTTCAGTGGCACCTAAAAACAGAGTGATTCTGCCGTGATTATCAGGGGGAAAAAAAAAAAAGTAACTTCTTTTGGGCAGCACATGTCACACGGCAGAATCAGCCCGCAAATTTAGGTGCCATTGACATTTTAACCACTTGACCTCTGGAAGATTTACCCCCCTTCCTGGCCAGGCCATTTTTTGCGATATGGCGCTGTGTTCCTTTGACAATTGTGTACATAAATGAAATTTATGACTTTTTCCCTACAAATAGAGCTTGCTTTTGGTGGCATTGGATCACCTCTGCATTGTTTTTATTTTGCGTTATAAAAAAAAGACCAACAATTTTTGGGAAGAAAAAAAAAAACCCAAAAACATTTCTTCTTAATTTCTGCCATAAAACATTGAATAAAAAAAAAAAATCTAATTTCTTCATAAATTTAGGCCATAATGTATTCTGCTACACATTTTGGGTAAAAAAAAAACCCCAATAAGCATATTAGTTTGTGCAAGTTAAAGCATCTACAAACTATGGGACATATAGGGGATTTTATTTATTTTATATAGTAATGGCAATACAGTGATCAGTGCTAAAAATATGCACTTATACTATACTAATGACACTTGCTGGGAAGAGGTTAAACATCTGGGGTGTTCAAAGGGTTAACTGTGTGCCTATTTATGTGCTGTGTGTACATAAGGTGGTGCTTTTACTAGGGGAAGTGAAGGATTGTGTTCCCAGCTTGGCAGGGACACAAGATCCTTCACTCCGCAACTCAATTCGCTTCTGAAATTGCAGGAACATGAACAGAAACAAACATTACACATTATTAGTTTTCCTGTATGCTTTTTGGACAAGTTTACTATGCTGTACCATAAAATGTAAACAGATTTGTTCAGCATAATTCTACGTATTCTGTGTCTTATTCACTACCGATGGCCAATGCAGAGGATCTGTATCTATACTTGTATAGTATATGTATGGACATTGTACAGTGTCCGATTTCTTGCTTTGTATGCTGGGTAGGTCTCAGTATCTGTTCTTATTCTCTATATATTTGGATGTTATTTGCATGGACATTTCACACTATAATTTTTTCATGTCTTGAACACTGGGTGTAATTCTTGATGTCTGTCTTAGTCTGTGTTTGGGTGCTGAAGAACAAACCTCCTTTTGTCTTATACACTGGAAATAACATTCCTAATATATAGTAAACGTATTTAACATGTATGGACACTTCACAGAATGCGTTCTATTGTGCTGGACATAAGGACAATAACGCATGCCATTTATTTGGCTCTCATTACTACAGTAGTCACAATTACTGGTATTCTGCCCAAGAAAAATGAACCAATATAACTTTGCTTGGGTTAGGAAAGTTAGAGAAACACTGACGTATAATAATTAAATAATCTTATGTGGAAAAATTTAAAAAACTCAATCACTGGAGCTCCTTCTTATCCAATTTTCTTGCAATGCGACCATCAACATTAAAGTGGTTGTAAACCTCAGACATTAAATCTGAACAAAGCACATATTTATATAGTGCTTACTTGCCTCTCTCTAAAGCACTAAGGGGTTGATTTACTAAAACTGGAGTGCGCAAAATCTAATGCAGCTTTGCACAGAAACCAATCAGCTTCCAGGTTTTTTTTTGGCAAAGCTTAATTGAACAAGCTGACGTTAGAAGCGGATTGGCTACCATGAACAGCTGTACCGTATTTTGCACTCTCCAGTTTTAGCAAATCAACGCCTAAGCAGGGGCGGACTGACCATTTGGAAACTCAGGCATTGCCCGAGCGCCCAGGGTCAGTAGGGGGCCCCATGAGATGCCTCTGGTACCTTTTTCATAGGCTTTTTTGAGTTTGGGCAAGGACACAGGGGCCCCATGATCCCCTATTTCCCAGGGGCCCCATGAGTTGTCAGTCTGCCTCTGCGCCTAAGTGTCTTTTCTCTCTGCAATCTCCTTGCTCGGATATCTGCATGAGTCACTTCTGACAGGTTTTCCTGACACCAAGAGCTAAAAATCTTACAGGGGAGGGAGCTCCAGCACATAACCTTTGATTGACAGCCTCCACTCTGTACCTGTGTGTTATGTGAAGGGGATGTGCCCATTCCCTCAAATCAGCTCTCAGAGCTCTTGTACAGTGTAACTGCAGCCCCCACCCCTGCTTTGTGAGTCAGGGAAAAATACTTTACATCTGAGTTTTACAAGGATGTGCAGGACAGATGGCAGCAGGTAAACAGGTTCAACGTACGTAGGAGGATTTGCTTCACCTCTGTACCACCTGAGGCTGGTCATTTCATTGGCTATAGGTAAGGGTTTACAACCAATTTAAGCTCAACATTTCTGTTTATACATAAACAAGCATTCTCCAATATTCTGCGCATCAAACCATATTCTAACAACTAGACAAACTGCCAGGGCAGGAACAAAACACTTTTGTGTGTGACAGTTGGACAAAAATCTCAATGTAAAAAGGAAACAAACAAGGGATTTTTATGCACTGCTGATGCCTCCTGATCGCTCTCTGATGCAACAAAAGTATAAAGAGAACAATAAAGCCCTGCTCACATCTATGGGTTTTGTACGTGATGTGTTAGAAAAAAAATTCTGCTAGCTGTGTTTCAGGTGTGGGTTTGCAGCAAGTGCATCTTGGCACCACAAGTTAAACACGCCAAAAAAGAGACGTAAATAGTCCCCCACTGGTAATCTAGGGAAAACATCAGCCAATAGCAACCAGAAAATTGTATACCAGGGTTAATAGCTACTCTAGTTACAGTAGTACTAGTAGTGTGGTAATAGCTGGTGGTGCTATGGATATAACATGAGTTGCCCAGGTCAGTGATTTTGGCACCATTATTGTGGCACAGGGCAAAAGAGCTTTCAATATCCCCTGCTTCAACCATATGGTGGCAAAGCTCAGACACTTCCAGGAAGTATGGAAGCGTTCTGCTTAACCATGTCTTCATACACTTTTAATGGTCTATCGCCATGCTGGACTGCTTCACTTGCCAACAGGAATGTTTAAGACAGAAACAGACAGGTGAGCTTTGGAACTATGAGGAAGGGCTAACATTTTGCCCAGTCAGAACAGCTTGACTTCAGGGAATAGTAATGGACACAAACCGCTATGGCACCCCCAAGCATCAGAAAAAGAGGTGTATTTTATAGTGCGGGAAAAGGGTATGTTTTAAGAAAGGTTTAGGGACTTTTTCTTTGCAGGAATAGCAGGTACAGCAGCAACTCAAATAGATGGGCCGCTGTGACCATGCAAACAAAGCAAGCAGGAAACACAGAGAAGTGAACCTACCCTTAGTTATAGCTTTCCTTTAATTACAAATGTCTTGACACAAAAGAAAGAAAATATCAAGCCGACCTAATGATTTGCAATGCTCAAAAGCTAAGTTGTTCCAATCGCTTGAACGACAAATTCACTCTACAAGTAAAAGCACACATAACCAGAATGTTATCTCTGATGCTGAATAGTTAATGTGCAAAATATCTGGAATCAAAAGTTTAGTTGAATAACTGTCATACCCACCTCAAAAAATCCCTTTATTTATTTAAAGATGCTGAGTTACTGCTGTGAATTAACAAGCTACAACATCCTAAAGCAGAAGAGAACTGTCAAACAAATGTCAGTTTTTTTAACAAAAATTTGTTAATTAGTTGGCATTGACCATTCACAAAGAAAGCTGACCTGCGATTTTTTCTTCTCATATTTGAAGTCTTCTTGCTCATTTTTCTCATCTTGGTTTGGTTCCCGAACATTTTTGTACCCCAGGCTGGGTATGACATATTCGACTCCTAAATCTAGATCTTTCATCTTCCTTTAGCATTGATTGCCTCTAGTGATGCAATGTTTGCAAAAACTTTGGAGAAAAAAAAAAAAACACAACTTTAATAAACAAGACTTTATTTAATTTTATTCTTACTAATCATTGAATAATGTAAAATATAACTAAAGTTTTGATTGAAGTGAGAAATTGTTAAAACTAATCAGTTTCTTATTTTTGCAGTCAACCATTAAAAAGGGAAATTTTTTCTTTACTTCCTGTATTGGAAACACATCAGGAAGCAAAAGGAAATATCCCCTTAGGGCTATACACCCCTATGGTCTATTTTAGTGCATAGGCTAGTGTTCGTTTTTGTGGGACGTGAAGAGTAGTGTGATTTGCTCTTTATTTAATACATTGTGCACTTACAAAGCACAGATCAGAAGTACAGGATACATAGTGAAATTACAATTTCACATGGCTGTCTCAAGACAGAGCGCATACAAGAGTAGTGACCTCCCGAAAAGTACGACACTGACAGGAACAATATGCAAAAAGACGTATATTCAGGGGGAGCTCAACCAGTGATACACAACAGGTCTCCAAAAAAGTATAACAGATAATGCAAACCATTCCTAGGCCTGACACCTCAGGCACATAGGAAACAATTATTTTCTAAGTGCCCTAGAGCATTGTTCCGAGTAGTAAAATGCAGGTCAGAGCATACAGTGTAAATGAAGGGCTGATTCAAACATCCTGTGGTGACTTTTTTTTTTTTTGCACTGGATCAGTACAAGTCACAAGGGCAAAAGAAAACAGTTGTTTTTTATGTGCCCCATTCACCACAATGCCATGGCGATGTGCAGTGCAGTACAGAAAAATGCAGACATGCAACATTTCTCTCCCAGCACACTGGACAGGATGGCACTTAGTACACTTCCAATAAAGTCAGAGAAAAAAAAAGTAAACAGTTTACTGCTACACAATGGGAGGAGATTGACTAAAGCTGATGCACTCAGAATATGGTGCAACTGTGCATGGTAGCCAATCAGCTTCTATCTTCAGCTTGTTCAATTAAGCTTTGCCAATAAGGCTACGTTCACACTAGCCTTGTTAGCAAGCAAAACTATAAAGGGCTAATTTAGACACACAGCTGGTGTGTGGAGCAGTGGGATCACTGCAGTGCCAATGCGCCAATGATGGCACAATCACTCCGCTTCCTTTTAGTTTTGTTTTTTTAAACCAACTTTATAGAAATGTCACACTGCCACCTCACACTGCAATGAAAAAAGTACAGCTTGTTGTACTTTTTTTCACTGCATACCGTCCATACACCACTATGATGGCATTTTGCATTGTCCCTCTGGAATGCACCGGATATGAATAAACCCCAAGGGCTCATTCAAACAAGCACATTTTTCAGTACAGTGTAAGCAAAGTAGTATATTTTTGTGCTTCGGAATTACTGGTGCTACTTACAACTGCCCACAGACATGATGATATATGGTGGCTGTACACAGCACCAAGGACTACCAGGAACAAAAACATGCTACTGGAGAAAGAGCAAAACATTTTCAAGTGTTACATTTGTTTAAGATTTGTCAGTATTGCAATCATGTTTCATTTGAACACATATTCTTGGAAGCTTGTCTGATTTATAGAAACTGTTATGCCTTCAAACTGTACAAGCCTGGACTAGTCCTGAAGGATGCTAACCATACTGCAAGCCCACAGGAAGAGCACAGTCAATGCATACGTCTCTCTTTATTTCAATTAGAAAGAAGCTCATTTGATTTCTAGCTGCATATCGCTTGTTAAGAAAAGTGACATCATTGCCTGCTAAATGAGAATTGAGAGAACATAATGAGCAATGAGAGAAGCAAGAAAGGGGATGAACAACACACGACTGTGGGTAGGGACTTACTAAACAAGTTATCTAACAGTAATTAGTCACATTCAAGCTGGCCTTGCTCTGTAATGCTGACATCATGTCTTGTAGCTTATCTCAGCTACTTCTTCAATTCAAATGAGTCAAGAAGATACCCCATCATATAAATCACAAGTTGTTTTTGTGCCCTATTTGCAAATCTGTGTACATTGTGCAACTAGGTGGCCAGCCCTGGTGTCACACCCGTCACAATTTAAAGTGGTTCTAAAGTCTAAAAGTTTTTCCCCCTTTATGCATCCTGCACATTAAAGCAGAACTTTATTAGTCAACAATGACTATTTTAAGCTTTATACTGCTAGTATTAGTAAAAAGATAGGAGCTATATCAGATTTACTTGTTTTAAACTTTTTTTTTTTCAGTTGCTTCCTGGTTTTAATGCCTAGGCAAATTATGTCATACATCCCAGGAGTCTTCAGAAGGGGAGCAGGGGCTTTCTCAGTTAAGCACACCCGCCTGCCTGAGCTAAGGGCAGATGGATTCCAGGAAGTAATTAGTACATGAATCTTCTGCCCTTCTCAAGATGGCCACGACTAAAAATGCTAAGGGTGTTTTTCAAAGTGATTTCCCGGCAAACTAAATCATAGAGACATGGATGGATATGGGAGCTTGCCTTAAATATTAATTAAATCAAGGTTTTCATTTTTGGTATTCGGTGCAGTGGAGTTCCTCTTTAAATTTAAAAAAAAAACTCACTACCTGTCTTACTGATCTCCATCCTTAAAACACTTACCTGGTTTACCATGTCATCACTACCCTCAGGAGAAAAACTGAGGGCAGGGGGATCTGTAAGCACCTGCTGCTGTCATGTAAGGAGGGAGCAGGGGCATGGCCTACTGATGCTATTTGTGTCTATGGATGCACACAGCAAGGCACGGGAGTGTGCACACACAGATGTCTCCCTGACGCCCAGCTTGCCAAGAAGAAATCTAGAATAGGGAGAAGCTGATAGCGCTGGTAGGGGACTGCCAGAAGAAAAACCAAGTGACCTCTCTATGCAATATCGTTGCACTGAGCAAGTATTACCTATTCTTTTATTTTAAATATAAAACACACACACAGTGTGTTCAGAATATAATGAGAATGAAGTTCCTACGCTCAAGAAGAGCTCTGTGAAGGGAGAAGCTGACCAAGGTCACCATTGGGGTGGGGTGCCAGGCACACGTTAGAACACTGATCTGTTGCATTTCAGCCCTGTCAGAATCAAGACATTGTTTTGTTGTTTTCGTGACACCCTGTTTAATAGCCTTGTATTAAGGAAAATGCAATCTAGTTTGGAAGAGCAGTACGCGATAAAGGTTTGTGTGGAATTGGGTAAAAGTGCATTGAAAACTTTTGAAATGGTGAGAAAAGCTTATGGAAAATCTGTATTATCTCAAATCAATGGTCTTTTTTTCCCATTTGGAATTGTCCATAAGGAATTTGTACCTACTGGTCAAACTGTGAATCAAAGCTTTTATATGGAAGTTCTTGGTCGCTTGAGACAAAGTTTTTTTTGTGTGCGTACGGAGATCGGCTCAACTTGGATCCTTCATCATAGCAACACACCAAGTCATCGTGCTTTGGCAGTCAGAATGTTTGGCTGAAAAACATCAGGGTGCTTCCCCATCCACCCTACAACCACAACCTGGCTCCTTGCGACTTTTTCATATTAACAAAGATGAAGAAGGGTTTCCCCATCCACCCTACAACCACAACCTGGCTCCTTGCAATTTTTTCATATTAACAAAGATGAAGGGTTTGAAAGTACACCATTTTGGTAGTGTGGATAACTTCCAAAGAGCCACTACGCAGGATCGGAATGCCATCCTACTTTAAGACTTCCAGGGATGCGATAAAGAATTGAAAAATCACTGGGAGCATTGTGTACACTCACAAGGTGCATACTTTTAAGGAAGAAATGTTCAATTGTTGAACAAATTTTCAAAACATCATGGTCATTACTTTTTGGACACTTTGTGTATATACAGTCTTTAGCATCAACAAAAATGCATCTTACAAACTATCTCCCACCTATGCAAGATATAAACATCTCTAACCTTTATGCCAACACAATGTCATTTGACATCTGTATTTACCCATCAGTACCACCAGTATCTTAAAGTGGCGTTCCAGACATTTTTGTGTTTATTAAAAGTCGGCAGCTACAACAATTGTAGCTGCTGACTTTTAATATACACACACTTACCTGCCCCAGGTACTAGCGATGTACTCACCCACGCAGTCCCTTCTGTCCTCCAGTGTTGGCATCTCTATTGCGGGCACCAGGCTGCGACACCTTGCGGCTTCACAGCCTGGTGTCCACTGCACATGCGCGAATTGTGCCGCACCTCCTGATTGGTCCGGCAGTCTCCTGGGACCTGTGAAAAGTTCCCAGGAGACGGCAGGAGCAAGGAGGGGGCTGAACTTCCAGCTCACTTTGCCGCGGCAAACTGAGCCGGAAGTGGGAGCAGGTATATGTCAAAACCAGGTACCCGCTCCCCCCCAAAAGGTGCCAAATATGGCAGTGCGGTGGGAGGAGGCACATAAGAGGAGCTTCCACTTTTGAGTGTAACTCCACTTTAAAAAAATTAGATGCAAAAATGAAACAAGTATATGTGTCACACATGCAGAATCAAAAATGAAAAGATATGGCAAAACAAAAGTTCCAAGGGAAAAAAAAAACAAGTGAAAACAGAAAATGAGAGCATCACCTACACTGGACAAAACATCCCCCCCCCCCCCCTCCCTATACGGAGCTGAACAATCAGCTGAGGCCTGGAGAGCTTACATCTGAGGTCACCTTGTGCCATCCCGATTATCGCTCTAGCTGTCACGGCCACAGCCTCCTCACACCTAATGAAGAAGTCATCAGAACAGGGTGACACCTCCATGGTACCCTTCCCCCTGCACAGAGAGAAAGAATCTGGTCTGTGCAGCCTGTTACCAACCTAACACACAAGGTATCATGGCAGTGATCATGAACACCTACGTGTGATGTGTCTCCCCTACGCCCGATGAGCCACATACACAATGCGGCAGCCTCGCATCCCGAGCCTGTGTGCCATTCAGGCTGGAAGAGGCTCCAGCGAGCGTACCCCCTCCTTCTCTTCTATGGGAACAACA